ATTCGCAAATATCTTGTCTATAGCGAGATTATGTTTCACATTAAATCTGATTATTATAAATTCAACAGATAAGAAATTGTTCATTATTTTACATAGTTCGAATAAGAAATTATCTATGAAAGAGATAAAAACTTATGCTTGACAACAGTAGTAAATTAACAATAATTTCTATGTTCTTCCGATTCTTACGCGATAAATATAAAGTACAATCAATATCAGTAGTATCAATTTGCTCCCTCGTTTTTTCGGGAAATTTCTGTTCTTATTATTGCATGACGTTTTTGAATATTTAAAAATACCGAGAAATATCGTTATCACTTCATAGGAGACTGCCGCTATAGTTACATTGTTAAAATGTAAACGAAGAATTTCGCGCCTAATCTTGAGAGAATATGCGGACGTGTTTTTAGTGTCCCGTTTCATTTAAGAACAGGTACAATGCCGACGGTCGGATTACGCGTGTCCCAATAGTCTCTTTCGTGAAATAATCATGTACACGGAAACACTTCCACGCGCGCCGCGGTCGAGAAGGACGAGTTTTTCAAATGGTTATGGCATGCATACGAACGGCATTTATTTTCTCGTCGTTTGCATATATTGTTGTTTCGAAGTAGAAAAACATGTCGTGGTTTCGCAACGATTAATAAAACATGACTTTAGATTGATAGTGTTATCTTGAATGGGCTTAAGCCTGAATATCGTGATTCCTTGATCTTGATTTTCTCTTTGACTTATCTCTTCAGCATGTTTGCATATAAATAGCAAGATCCAAAAGTTTTCGGCTTTTTATATCTCAAGGATATAAAAAAGAATGACAAACTGAAACAACCATTTTGATTTTTCACTATAATCATTCTTTCCTTCAATACATTTTTTTGGAACAATGAATTGTTTTTTTATATTATTAAAAAGGTATTCTGAATTTTTATCCTTAAAATGGTTTAACACTACGGAGATCATTCCTTCATCATCTGCTTTACAGCACCGACTTAACCTCAAGTGATTATCTTTTAAATTGAAATTCAATTTGCGTGGAAGAAAATTGACTAATGATAAAGAAATCATCTCTTTTCGTAGTGTTAGCCATTTTAAAGACAAAATAATATTTTTTAATAATATAATATAGAAAAATTAATTCATTATTCTAAAAAGTATATTAAAATAAAAGGTATAATTATATATTAAAAAAGAAAAATGATTGCTTCATTTTATCACCTTTTCTATATTCTTGGGCGTTAAGTACCACGTATATTGAAAATTTGCTTTAATAAAAAAACGCATTGAATCAGATCTATTAGTATACAAGTTTATTAATTGATTTTTGCCTGGTGAATAATCCGCGGTACTAATTGTAAGTCACACACACACACACACACACACAATCATACATTTTAATTTCTTTTCTAAACATTCAAAATATCTCATTGTTTTCTCGACTTCGCTAATTGACGCGATTTGCTCGAATTTCCACAAGCGTTGTAAAATCGATCAGACATGTCTGCCGTGATATCGACGCGCTGTCGACTCTAATTTTATCCGATAAATGCATTTCATTCTCTCTGCGCAAACGATGGAAGGTTAAAGACCTTTTCTCTGACAATTATTTTCACGAAGCTGTTACGCTCGATGTCCGTAAGTCCTGTCCGTGACAGGATAACGTCGCTGTTGGCGATAATAGCGGCAACGACCGACCGGGAAACAAACGAGAAATCGATTTGAATTATTAAGGCAGAGGAAATATGACGACGACACGGGGATATCGATAGAGTAAAGCGAAATACAATTATATCCGTTTACCGGTGCGGGATCGGGAAAATACCGTTACGCGCGTAATTAACGGCGCAGATTGATCCCGCGTTTGTGCGCGCGTTTGCATACGTCGGGTATGCGGGAGAAATACACGGGGGCCCCTCCGTGAAAAACACACGAGCTCGCGTTTACAAAATAGGCGCATCCGGGCGTGAGAATTTACCGGTTTGATGTCGCTCGTTGAGAGGAACCTAAAGCCGTCTGTATTACCGATCGAACGCGATTTTTTAAAACACGCATATTTTTTAATTTGTTTTTACGGAATTAAAAATTCTTTTCCAAAGTCAAAGTATATGCAGTAAATGTTTTCCACGCCGAACGATGCCGAAAACGAAAATAATTTCAGAGATTTAAATCTTCGTTACCTACTCTAAAGATAATAAGACGTCGACTCGTGACAACATTTGCTTCATATAAGAATTTTACAATTTGTTACAAAATGAGATCGGCGTAAAGAATGGATTATATAAAGGAATAACATACCGTTTTCAGAATTAAGCTTAAATACCTAACAAAAAAGGTGTGCGTGAAAAACAATTAAAATAAATGTGCATTATAGTGCATATAATACTTTAACTTTAGAAATGAATTTTTTAAATCTGTTATTTTAAAAAAATCGCGTTCGATCGGTAATACAGACGGCTTTGAGATCCCTTTAACGATCGCTCGAGATTTGCGCGCGCGATTTTCACCGATGATCCATTTGACCCGCGGCGTGGATTATCGTCGACGGTGTCTGCCGCGTATTTTCAGCGTCACCGGTATATGCGCGGAGCGTAATGAACGCGGACGTGTGCAACGAGGAAGATTGATTTGACGGATATGACGACTTAGTAATGTGCCCGCGCCCGCGATGGCCATTTTATTAAAAGCCCGGCGCGCAGATGTAAAACCAGAGAACCTTATACCCCTCGAGAACGAAGAATTTGCACATCAAGGCTAATATCATTTTAACGGTGCTCGTTTCCTACGCGTGAACTCGCATAAAAAAGTTATCCTACGTACGTTTATTGTCGCGTAAAATGTTCAATTTTTTTTTTACTGACGTTATATTTTATTAATCGATATTAATCGTTATAATAATGATTATTTATCATTAGAGTGCTGCATAATACTATTTGCGTTTAACCAAAATTTTAGTAGGTATTAATATGTAAAAAAGATTTTCTTCATTGTATTTTTTATTACACTGTGTGAAATAAGCTGTAAATCTAAATACCTAGGAAGTCGTAGAAGATTTCTGAAAGAGACATTTATAATATGAAAGAGCGGAATACAGTAGGAGTAGTAAGATGCTTTTTCTTTTAATATACTATTTATAGAAAAGTAGGTCACATCTCGAGAGGCTCTACCTTTTCATCAAATCATTGAGCATTCAGGAGAAAAGTCAGTAGAAATATTGACTCAAAGAATTCTTTATTATGGTAATTACATAATTTACAATTTATACGCACAGAGAGATCCAAGTTAATTACAGTATATGTACTGACTTTCTAAATAACACTGACGAGATCGTGCGTCTTATTTTTTAAAATAATCACAAAGATAAAAAAACAAAAATTCCACAGTGGACGACGGTTATAGTAGCTCATTGCGTTTGCAATTTTCCAAAACAAACAGAAAGAAAAAACGTAATTTTATTTCATCCAAGAAGAATCCCGAGTAAATGGATCAACGCCAATCGAACGTTCGCGAGCGTTCTCGCGTTTCGCAAAGCAGAAAGAAAAATTCATTTTCGAACGAACGTTTGTCATCGGAAGCGAGTTGATGCGCCGGGAGTTGTCACGGAATTAACTTTACGATGCACTCGCGAACGCACTATTGCATTCCGGTCATAGCGGGCGAGGCGTGTCGCCCGCGATATGTACTACACTATACGAATGCGACGCACGCATGCATTGGAAGGGTAAAAAGAATAGCGCGGTCGATGGATGGGTCCCGACGAAAGGTCGCAATTTCGCGAACTCACACGGTACTAGAAGTACTTCAAGTACTAGAACTAGACCGTCGTCCCTCAAAAATCGAACACGTCGCGCACCGCGCCGTTCCGGTCTTCGCAGTCGCGCCGGAAAGGTCGCGCGCGCATAACGAAAACTAGCTTCGTTCCGCGCTTCGCGAAACTAGTTTACGCGGAAGTCTGTCGGACGAGTGCATATTGTCGCGCTTAATAACTTCTGCATAATTTACCGACGGGTGAGAAAGAGAGGAAGGGGAGAGAGAGCGAGAGGTAAGGACATTGTCGATGGCGCGGGAACGCTAGTATACCGGGCCAACGCGGATGTCATCGTCGGGGTGTGATCAACCGCTCTCTCGCAGAACCCCCGAAAGTCGACCTTTCGCGACGTCGACGGGGCGTTACACAACGTAATACCCAACGTACGACCGCGTAAATTAACTTTAAGTACAGTTTCGAGATCGTGAGTTTGTAATTCGAGTTACGGCACGCTTTGCATTTTAAGTACCACGCCCATGCGGGGCTATCGTCGGAAACGACTCGGTCACGATTATTCCCAAGCAGGAGCCGAGTATTTTTCGTATCTTGCCGCTGGAATTTCCCCGGATTGCGCCGAGGAATATCGTGGGTTACGCTCAGAAAATTTTAATTAACGTACAGTGCTCTCGCACGACACGACAGTCGACTTCGTTTATCTTTATCGAACTTCGCGATTCCGCTGAGATCTGTCATAGATGTTTCGTCATTTTCGTTAGCGAGCGGGTTTTGTTTAACAAGAAGAATAGAATTCGTTGATACGAATAAATATTTGAGTGTAAGAACTTATGTTAAACCGTAAGAATTATCCTTTCGCATGCCAAAATTTTAATTTATTTCATTTCAAGATAAATGAAATTTTTTTTATTAAAAAAAAAAACCAATTAAATCAAGTAAAAATGCATTTACACGTTAATTAAGCTATCAGATTCTTATAATATAGGCGGTAAAAAAGTTAAATCAGACCTCTCCAAATTCTCGCAAAACGCCTTCTCTTTGTCGTTTCTTTAAAGAGACGGAAAAAAAGAAACAGAGAAAAACAGGCTAAGACTATAAATTGCTATATCTCGTAGTCGATTTTAATCCTATCGTTAAGAGTCACTGCGAATGATAATAAGGAGCCTCTCTGCCTTTTCTTTTTCGAATTGGACAGGTCTGAATTAAACTTTCTATTCATGCATCATCATATATTTCGACTTACAGGTGACGATCAGGTGAGCGCTGGCGCGGATTGGCTTGATCCGCAGATATCGTCCTACTTGACACTCGTACTCGCCGTCGTCGGTTAGAGACGCGTCGGTGATTCTTAGATTGAAAATACCGGCGTTCTGATCGCCGATCAATTTTAGCCTGGGGTGGCCCACGATTTCGCCGTCTGCAACATCAATTCGGGATCGTTTATATGCGTTATATCACGTTGCGCGTTCTCGGGCAACGATCGATCGATGTAAATTAACCGATTAGGTAACATTTTTCAGCCTCATGGCTGAGGAGCTTCGTAATTCATAAAGCGGGTACGCGGCTCTCGGCTTTAATTTCAGCTCTGTTTATTACGCGCTTATTTGGCTGGTATGCGAGCACTCTCGGCAAAACGATGCGATTACGATAGGCGGAAGCCGATGAGACCGCTGAGTAATTAACCGCTCACCGTCGATGGTCCCGCTCTCGGACGAGGCTCCTCTTTACAGTCACGCTTAAATAACAAATCCACAACGTTGCTATATACGTTCCTTAAGTTAGATCGTAAAAATCGTATATACTAATGTAAGATACATAGAGAAGGGAGATCAAATTCTTCTTTGCCCATCTTATTTTATCCTTATTTAGATTTTGCTATCGTGCACAGAAATTTTCAACATTCTGAAAACTATCAATAAATGTTCAACAGTTGCTAGTTTTTAAGCTAATCGTCAATCGATTATAAATTGAAAGTTCGACAAATAAAATATCTTTTTCGGAAACGGAAAATTTTGTTAAAATAATTTAGTTATCGTGTGAAAATTAAATTAAAAGCTTTGTACTTTAAATTAACAGCTTTATTGAAATAAAAACGTCTGCATTTATGTATTTAATATTTTTCTTTTATCTGTAAAATTCTATAAAAAATTTGAGTACTAAAATTTTGTCTAATAAAATTTCAATTAATATAGTTTGAAGGTTTAATGTGAGAGAAATAGACTGTAAAACCACTTTATGTGGGATACGTGTTTGTGGACTGCGTATAATAATCGTAACGTATACGGCGACGTAAATCCGCGGATAAAGCAAAAAACAACAGGAGTAGCACTGGTGATTCTTGATTAGTGTGTTAATATGTTGCCCGAAAATGTCCGTGTAAAACAATCCCGCGTAAAGCGGAAACCCAATTTCCTATTGAAAATATAAGCAGCTTTTGTGCGCGGTTTTAATTGGTGAATTTAGATCCGAGTGGGTTTTCCCGAGGCGTTAATTGCGCAAATACAGGATTACCTGTCTTCGCTGAATTTAACAATGCACGATTTGCTCTGTATGCATTTTATCTTCGTTATTATCAATATATCTATATCGAACGACTTTTCGGATCATTCTCTTTTTAAGTGGATTTATTGGAGTCCAACGCGAATTGGTAAAGACAGATAAATTTTATTTTACAAAGGAAAATATCGAAATAAATGCAACTTTCAATTAAAATTGCACTATACGTGTGGCATTGCAATATTTATGCCTACGATCTATGTATAACACTTTGAGAAACTTGTCTCAAAATCATGTTTTCCTGAAGAAATCGTAATTGGCCGTTCTTATCATAATTTTTCAATACTTTCATATTTCACGTTATTCAAGATTCAAACTAGAGAGCGTTAATACCGGGGGAAAAACTGGTCTAATCAGTTTCCTCTTATGAGTAATTGGCGTTCAATTAAGGTTGGAGAGGAAATCAGAAAGTAACGATCCTTCTTCAACGCCGTTCAATAAATTTTAAATTAGACTCTGCTGGATCTTAAAATCCGGTTTTTGTGAAAAAAGTAATAAATAATAAAATATAGAGAACAATATTTTTTTCAATTATTGATAATCCTGAAATTTTATTCTAAATCTCTCATAATAAAATAATTACTGCTGATATGCCTTGAGATTTTCGTTGAGAAAAATAGTTCCTTCCGGAGCAGTGAATCTGTGGCTTCTCCGGAAGACGATGTTTGAGAAAAAAAGGATGATCATCACGGTTATACAATTTATATTTCAATTTATCGTACTCACTCGGTTGTATGACGTAAGCAAATCCGTCTTTGACCCATTGGACGGTACCAACTCGGTTCCCCACCTCGCAAGAAATTATCACCTCGCCACCTTCCAGCACGGAGCTGTTATTCGGCCTGACCCGAAAATATTGTCCCTCGCCTGTAACAAAATGATAACAATTATTTCGATTCGGAAACTGCGCTTCTTTGGAGGGACGATATATAAGCTCGTGTGCTTCCGCATGCCGCCGCTTTGCCTGCGTTTTATTCGCTCGATAGAGTAAAGCGAAGTAGGGTGATGTGCCGTAGGCTATAAAATTATGTTTACATCGTGTTTTCTCCTCGCAGAAATCGTCTGCGTAAGATTTATGCATACCTATTTGCATAAACAAGTATTGCGAGTCAATGACTGATTTTATGATTATGCTTTGATAAATGCTCGAATCTTAGACGGATGCTTAAAAGTATATAACTCCCTTATATATTCATAAAAAATAAATTTATTACAGATAAATTAATCGCATATTTTATATGAAGAATCGTAATAAATGAATGCATCGAGGAATATTTCAATTAAAAAAGCAAATTATTTTTATATATTTATAAACACAGACAGAAACAGAAAATGCCAGTTTACACATCGTATATTTATATAATCTTTAGAATTAAAGTATTACTTGTGTAAAAACAAATAAAATGCAACATATAATATAAACATTTTCGTTAAAACTTCAACTCGCAATTCGTACGCATTAAACAGCACAAACAGGTTTATGAAAAATCTCAAGTTTTACGATACTTGTCATCATTTTTTTTTGTTTTAAGAAAAAAGAACGAGCGGCCAATTAGTGGCAAAAGAGCATAAGCGTAAAAAACGAGTCCAGTTAGAAACCCGTAACTTCGGAATCGATAACCGCGTAGCGGCTAATAACCGTGCGGTTATCCAGCATTTATCGCGCGACGGCACGTCCACTTCCGATTCCGTCACTCGCTCGTAATCCACGACTTCACGTTCAGTTGCGTCGATCGTTTTGGTTAATTAACTTTAATTGCATATTACGCGGGTCCTTTTTGCTCCTCGTACCCGCTGATTATCACGCGAGTCGAGGAAGCGTTTCGCGTATCAACTATGCTAACCTACGTCGACGCAACCGTTCCAGCGTTCGTATACCAACAATAAGTTTGCCGAGGATCAAACTATCCCGCTAGCTCGTTATAATTTCTCAATTTTTAGCGGACGATAGTGAGGTTCTAATTGCTTCTTATTGAGCATCGTAAAGATGCACCCCTATGCCAACGCGGATCGATTAGGCGCGCAACTGGCGGAGCAACGAGAGAGAAAGAGAGAGAGCACAATAATTATGCCGATAATGTCGGCGATCACGCAAGCCGCTAAGCTCTCCGATACCGCCGCTGGAAGAATTAAGGTAATCGGACGGGTTTGGCTTCGATACGATCGATAATCCCTTTACCGCGTGGTATTCCACGTTTGTACCGCAGCACCACGGTATCGTATACACACGAAATCGGTCCGCGTTACGCATTACACCGCGCGAGTATTTCTGCCCTTTGTCCCGTGTGCCGTGGCGTTAAGAGCGAATTCACACGGTTCGTATCGTGTCAACTGACGAATTTGAATTAATTATGCGATTATATCAATGGTGTAAACAATAACAGAAATTATAATTTGGCATAATTCAATAAGACATAAATACATACTAGCTTTGCCTCCTGATTTAGTCCTCTCACATTTTTCTCTCTTTCTCCCCTTTTTTCTCTTATCAGTTTGAAAAATCGTACATTTATTTTGACATATATAAAACTATTAAATATCTATGTAAATACGTGTGTTTCAACAGTTTTTCCATATGGCGGAGCTTATCATGATACATATGAATTGATGCATATATTGCAGCAAAAATGAAAAGATTGGTATAGGCCAGGTGAAGTGATTTACAATTGAATTCATATTGAAAATGGCATAGAGCTCACGTTTTTTGGTCAAATTGAATCAACGATGCTTTTCAATACCTCAACTCTCTACTCGTGTTTTAAAAGGGACACGTGTCTATCATTTATCATCGCATTGATTCTCGTGAATCTCGTGTTAATTTTGAAAATGGCACAGATTATAAATTATAGCTGCTAATTTGAGCGTATGAATATCGATTTTTCTTGATCAGTTAGTTTTATTGCAAAGTGGGATGAAAAACATGATGAATAAAGTACCAACGTTGCTGTTATTCTATAGATTTTCATTTGATTGAACGCATTTTAACGACTTCACAGTATCTCAATAATAACAATGTAGCTGTGTAAACAACAAATGTGAACTAAAAATTTTATTCTAAATAAAATGAAATATTTTAAGATTAAATTAACACATATTGCATAGCAAATTTCTCCGTAAACAAAAAGAATTGTTAGTTAATTTAATTTAATTTAATTATCTATATATGTACACGCCCTGTGAATTTCATAATATAGTGTCTTATGACTGTTATACAGCTGTTAGAGCTGTTAGAGCGGTTAGAGTCCATTTTCTCGAATACGATTTTCACGCTTGCCGTAAAACAGATCAAATTGCTTTCGTAGCCTAAGCGAGCGATACAGCAATCGTGCCGTTGTAAAAACTCAGGTGTCGTAATTAGTGGTGTCCGCCAAGCGCGAACGAGTGCCCGGCGCGTTCCTCGCGCATGTATTTTTCAAAAGGCGATTAATTTTCGCGAAACGGATTGCATTTGCTGGTAGTAGTTAGTGGATTCGCGATGACGTGTCTAAGCAAAAACTCATTGGTGCAATACGCATACGCACTTGGGATGATCGTCCTAGAGTGAACCGTGTAAATTGGGTTTCGAGCGGTCGCCTAGCTTGGTTCGAATTTACGTGCAGTCCCGCCGTCCAAACGCAACGTCAATAAAATATAGGTGAGTCGGCCCGGCCCGGAGGTCTAAACGCGATTCGACTGGCGTCGTTTAATTTTGTAGCACAGACCTGTTCGGTCGACGCTCCGATTCGTCCAAAGGGATTCAATGATTGGGCGCGATTGTGGAGAACGGATTAAAACGACGCTGCGCCCGGCCGCGGTCGGCGAACGAGAATTCGAAAACAAACGAGCGACGAGAGATACGAAAATAAAGTTATAATTGAGTCCACATCGCGGGTTTCCGGCATTATCCGAATAAAAATTTCATTTAGGCAAAAGGGCACGGATAAGTAAAAAAAAAAAAAAAAAAAATTTTTTTTCCCCCCCCGGGGGAAATGTTTCATTCGAATGAAAGTTTATTCAGAGTTAAAATCTCTCTGTGGCTCTTTATTTGATTGTGAAATTTACTTTTGATCATAACAGATAATTTATTATATTTACAGTATCGAAAATAATTTGTCATATTTCGTTTGATAATTTAAAAAATTATTATTCAAATCTTTAGAAACAGATAATATACGCAGCAAAATTAAACGAGAAAAAAAAGAAAGTTGTTCTCAGAGATTATTTTCGAAAGAAAGCAATATATTCAAATGTAATTGATTTTATACACTCGATATTAAAAGCTACGTATCTTTTTCGTGTTTAAAGCTTTGTTACGAAAAATCTCAAATCTTTTTCGATTCTCGATTTCTCTTTTTGATACAAAAAGCAAATATCGGTAAATCTTTCGGAATGTGCTGATAGAACATAAATCTTTAAAAATAACGCAGCGTTATAACTATTTTATACTGCCGCGAATGTATACAAAGCCGGCTTTAACAGCCGGAAAGACGATAAATAATTGTCACGGCAGCAAACACAAGCTCCACAGACACGCGGAGAGCGTGAGCGTAACGCCGCGCGAAGTGTAACAATGCTTCGGACGATTGCTTAAGTAAAATTTATCTTAACGCGCCAAAGCTTTCAGCGGGCTCTTAATTGACGCAGAACGGAGAACGCGCGTAATCGGCCTAGAGAGCGAAATAAACATTTCAGCCGAGGAAGAAAGAAAGGGAGAAGGAGGGAGAGAAAGAGAGGGAAAAAAAGCGGCAAATCTGCCGTATGAATTACGCGATTATCGGCTTCGCGAACCTTTTCCCGTTCAGTCCGCATTGCGCTACGCGCAACGCAGCTTTATGCACAACTGCTGTATTCTAATAAGAGTGCATTGTACATCACGGGGACGTTCGAAGTGTTTTCCGCGTATTTTCGCGTAAATTCGTTCGTGGGACAAAAAATGTCGAGCCATCAGTTGTTTTTGAATTATAAATTATTGGAGATGTCATTTGCATGTGCACGTGTGACAGAGACTTTCGAGAATTAATTTTCAGAACGTATAAAAATTAATCGTAAAACATTATCTCTTATTTATTTTATTTAATTTAAATAGCAATTATTTTGACGTGACTTCTTATTCGACCCGTTAGTCGCGAAAATACCCGACAGACGAGACGATAGAGAGTTTACCAGAAAATACGGAGTCGAAGGGAAATTTTTGCGAAGGGAAAAGGTCGACTGCAAATTGGCGGAAGGACGAGAGGAAGTGCACCGGTAGAATCCGGTATATATATACGTACATATACATCCGGTGTATACGGCTTAGACTCACCCGGTTTGTTTATTTCAGCACGAGCTCGGATTAAATCGCGCTCCTGTTCTTATTTTTCGCTGCGCGAAAAGTGTCGCTCGGTAGACGGAGCGACACTTTTCGCGACGTCACTGGGCGTCCGCGTAAATTCCGCGATTAATCACCGCGTGCCCACCGATCAATTATTGAACGCGCGCGCGCGTTTTTTCTCTCCTCGCTGAAACATCGTTGCTGTTGGCTTTCGTTTGCGCGAGCCGTACATATTTACCTTTCCACCGTATTACCGGCAATTCTATGTAGATCTCACTTCCTTCCCGCGCTCGGCTATTAGAATTTCAAGCGTGGATCCGGCTGACGGAATTTTCGATAAAATCACTCCGCCCGCCGTCCTTCTTCCCGGTTCTTAGAGGAGAGATGAAATCGGCGTGCTTCTTAAGCCCTATTCACTGCCCGATCAGCTCGTCTTATCCGCTTTAATTTATTAATTTTAGAGACGAAGGGAAAAGAATCGACAGTCCGTTAATTCAAAAATAAAAAATAAAACGCGTCCTCGAGTATTTAAACAGGAATTAAATCGTGTTTGCGAACGTATATTTTATATTATAATTTTTTTAAAATAATTTTCTCGTCAAAGTCTCGATTGGAGAAAGAATTAATTCAACATTAAAAAAGTCCCGACGATAAGGAGGAACCCTCTCTGATACTTGATTGTATCAACATCACGAATTTGCTCCTGACAATTGTATCCCCTAGG